ATTTAATTGCTTAAAATCACCATGGACAAACTCATTTCTCAAAGATAAAAAAATCTAATGGATTTTCGCCGATCAAAGTGGCCTAAATGAACTTGGCCGGCGATCTCTCTCTCTCTCTTCTCTCAACCTTCTCTCTCCACCCAAGGATCAAAATGGATGAGCAAATGAACATGTGAATCGAAATATGAGTTCAAAAATATTAAAGACCAAATTGTAAAAAAATTATAAATAGTGAAAGTATCGGTGAATAATGAAATGTGAGTGTGTGCACGGTATTTCAAATAGTGCAACTACGGTGTTTAAATGTTTTACGTTAGTATATTAGTTAATTATAATTAGCAATTTATTTTACTATTAAAACTCTAAAAAACTTGATGATAAGGCCATAAATAACATAAAGCATTAAAATATAAAAATAATTAAATACATCAAATTATTAAATTGAATTATTAGTTAATTTTTTATTGTCTTATATTAATATTTTTTTATTCTTTTGAACAAACAATGATAATATTAAAAAATAATTTATAATTTTTTTGTATATGTATTGTTAATTTAAATTTATGTCACATATAATTGAAAATGACGGTTTAAAATAAGGGTTTATAATATAATATGAAGTGGAATTTTTTTTAATCAAGTAGTGCAACATATTTGGTCCCCTTTGTTTGCCATTCATTTGTTCTTCTACAGAATATTACCTTAGCATTTTATTTTCCTAAATAAATGTTTGGGATAGTCAATGGTGAGTGTTTAAGGTAATTTTTTTTTTTTTGGGGATCACCAAGGTAATTATATTCAAGTTAATATGGAGTGATATGTTATATTAAACTCTTGATTTTATATATTCAAAATATTAAAGAAAATTTTAAATACCCAATAAGTAATTAATAATATTTAATCTATTAATTTATTTTGAAAAGAAAGATTAAAAAATTAAAACTAAAAGTGATAAAAATATTTAATCAAAATTAATTTTGTTAATTTCTTTTCTATTTATCTATTTTTTATCTACTTTTGCTATAAAGTAAATATTATGAAGTATTCCTCAAGTAAGGTAAAATTTCTCTATTTGTATTTTGATAAGTGTAAATTAGTCCAATCATATATCATAAACTAAAAGACGCCTACCATGAAATACTTTTCAAAATCCAAACCATTAATTAATCCATCAGTCAAATATTTATTATTCAAAAAATAATAATTGTGACAAATTGATAGTCAATAATAGTTAATTATTGTAATAATTAGATAAATAAATTTGAACTTCAAAATATTCATGGACAATCTTCTAGCTATTCATGAATAGGATCCATTAAATTATAAATTTATAATGTTATTGGATAAAAAAAACTTTAATTTATATTTATTATAATAAATAATATCAATAATTATCGTAATTTTCAACGAATTTTCTAAAATATCCATCAACCGGATGCCCGGATTCTTGCTTAAAAAGCGGGTTGGTTCAATATTCCTGATAAATTAATGCATATGAAAGATTGATGAGATGGCGGGGTTAAGGTGAGATTGTGACATGGATAAGTTCAGGATAACCAGGAGATCAGCGATGGGACTTCTAAAATCTGTCACACCATCAACACGGATATATTTTGCCAGCTGGTACCGCATGATTCTTCTTGATTAGACCAAATATTCAATTTAATGATCATGGACCCTTGATTAGGGTTTAATTTTTTTTTTTTTTTAAAATGGCCTGCTCGCCAAGGCAGCTTGAGCTTGCGCGTCAGTCCTGGGCTGCTGCTCAACACGCACAAAAATAAAAAAAAAGGTTGCAATTTTCTACGAGCTCAAAGTCGTCGGAAGCTTTGTGAAAAAATCGAAGATTAAGTTTTATATTCATAAAAATTAAATTTTAACATCATTTTTCTTTCCAAACATCTCTAAATAATCGAAATAAAGCCAATAAATATATATAAAACCTTAAAAAAATTTTAATGTACATAAAAACAAAAAAAATTACAAATCAAATTGGAACTTTGTTTTCTTTTTTGGCTTCGATCTACCTCCTCTAATTGTTTAACGGCTTGAAACCACTATAGACAAACTCATCTCTCAAAGATAAAAAAATCTAATGGATTTTGATCGGCCAAATTGACCTAAATAAGCTTGGTCGACGATCTCTTTCTCCTCCGTTCTCTCTCTTCCTTCCCGCCTTCTCTCCGCACCTAGGATCAAAATGAATGAGAAAATGAAGATGTGGATTGAAATATTTGTTAAAAAATATCAAAGATCAAAGTGTAAAAAAACTATAAATAGTGAAAGAAATAGTGAAATGTGAGTGTGTGAACAATATTTGAAATAGTAAACCATCGTTTTGTTTTAGTTTGTTTTATTAATATATCAAATTTTAACATAATTTTTTTCTTGAATTATCAAAAGATTAATAAATGTTGTGATGAAAAAACTCGTCTGTTTTTTTACCATATTTTATTTTCTAAAAAATATCTTCTATTTGTAATTAAAACCACAACGAAAGTCAGGGGCTAACTGATACAACTAATTTTTTTGGATGAAATTGAGATATTATATAAGTCTAGGGGGAAAATTTAAAATTTCTCCTTAAAAAAAGTTCCAACATTACATCGGTATTTGCACTAGGGTTTAATGGCAAAATTGTCCTCAAACTATTATGATTTGACAATTTCAAACCTTTACTATAAATTTGAGTTAATTAAACCCTAAACTATTTTTTTTCCAAATGTGATCCATTATTTTTAATGATCAAAATATTCTAGTATTTTTTAAAAAAGAAATCGTTAACTTAGTTAAAATATGATTGACGTAAAATTACATAGTAATTATTCATTAGATTTTAAAATTAATGACACTTATAAAAAAAATTAAAAATACAAATAATCAAATAAAAAAATAAAAGGACCTATATTTAAATAAAAAATAAAATCCAAAATTTTGTAATCAAGTATTTTTATTAAATTCATGCTGACATAACCATTATATTGACTAGATTAGAAATAAAATAAAATATTTAAATATGATATTAACTAGATTGTCATTAATTTTAATTTTTTTCCTAATCAAGTATTTTTGTTAAATTTATTCTAACATAACCATTAAATTGAACCATCAGCATGCTGACTTGTCCATTATGTGAGCATGAACATTTTATTTTATTTTTAATCGAGGATTTGTACTTTTTCAATATTTAATTATATGAACTTTATTTTTTATTTGATTATCTATACTTTTAAAAAAATTATAAATGTTGTTAATTTTGAAATCTAACAAATTGTCATTATGCAATCTTATGTAAATCATATTTTGATTAAGTTAACTAATTTTTTTTAAAAACAAAACTAGAATGTTAACGGTCAAAGAGTTAACCGTTGATAGCCAAATATTTGATCATTAAAAATAACGAATAAGAATCATATTTGTCAAAAAAATAATAATTTGGAGTTTAATTAACTCAAATTGATAGATATAATGCGAGGAATTGAGAATCAACAGAGCTCGTTCATATAAACAAAACTTTTAAGATAGAATTAAGACACCTTATAGAAACGAGCAAGAAAATTAAAATGTGCTTTAATTTTATAAACTTTGGATGCAGAGACTAATTTTTTTTTTTTTTTTACTAGTCAATTTATAAATTTGTTATCCATGCAACTGGTATGAGAGAAAAAAAATATTTTCTTAGTCTCACGTGTGATTAAAACTCTAAATAAACAATTGGTTCTAATTAACCCCTTTATCTTAAAAATTGGTAGTTGTTGTCCTCTTCATCTACTGCCATTATGATGATTCATTAAGTTTACTACTATTCATTTGTTGTAATTATGATGATCCGTTAAGTTTATTATTTTTCGTTTGATATAATTATAGTTTTCTTAATAATCGAGACTCGTTAGTTGTTGTGGTGATTGTTAAAAGAATTTATAATACTTTGTGTTAATTTTTTTTTTTTAATATCATATGAGAATCAAAATCTCAAGATTTTTATTTTTAGCTTCTAAATTACTTTTAAAATGGTTTCTAAATTTTAGCAAATATATTTTTTTCTTGCCTTTTGAAATAAAAGCCCAAAAAGTTTAAAAGAAAAATAGAATAGAAAAAAAAAAAAAATCCAAGAGCTTAGCATTACCAAACAATATGAAAGGTATGGTTTGGTTTACAGATAAGACAGAAGAGACAAGACAGAAAAGATAAAAAATTATTGTGTTTGGTTCAGAATGCATGACATAAAATTTTTGTCTATATATCTCTATAGGTCAGAGATAAGATTGGACAAGTAAATACCTAATTTACCATTATGCATTGTTTTGTACATGCTATATAAGCTTAAGATATGAATTTGGAGACCTTTTTCTTTCCACTACATTATACATATTTTATATGTTTTTTTCTCTTCATTGAATTAAATTATCAAATAATAAATAAAGAACTTTATATATACTTTATTTTAATTAAATATTTTTTTCAAAATTGATTTAATAATATGATAGTCAATAACGGAACTAGGATGTTTTCTTGGGGAGCCTAGAAATTCATCTGCAACCACAAACACAAATAAAAATTGTATTTTTAAACACTAATGCTAATTATATATATATATAACTTCAAGGATAATAATTTTTGAAGTTTTTCATGTTACTTTTTTTCTTAATGTTTAGCATTAGTTGGCCAAATTGTACCGATGAGAGGAAGACATGCCTGTACCCCATAGGCCCATATGATATCCCATAAATAAAAAATCATAAAATGATGAAAACAAAAGTATAATTGGATTCAAAGGGAAAAAAAATACTGATATTATTTAAAATATTTCTTGAAAAATAAAACGAAGGAATACTTGAAAATAGACGTTGAAACTAAAGGGCACATGAATGATTTTATTGAAAACTTAAAAAAAAAAAAAAAAAAAATCCAAGCAATGGATTCTCATTTATTCACTCCAAATTAAAATTTCCATTCAGCAAAGTCTGATAATATATTGTCACTAAAGCGCCATGCGACTCTCAGGAAGACAACGGAGGAGTGTCTGCATACTTGAAAGTACCCATGTTTCCTGGGTATCGATCCCCTTTGGCAGCAATGGATTCGAGTTGAGCAATTTCTTCTTGCGTTAGTTTCACAGCCAAAGCTCCAAGGTTCTGGTTGAAGTTTTCTATCTTGGTAGTTCCAGGAATGGGACATACATCATCTCCTTGGTGATGGACCCACGCTAGGGCTAGTTGTGATGGGGTGCATCTTTTCCTTGCAGCGATCTCCTCAACCCTCTCAAAGAGCTGCTTGTTATGCTCTAGATTTTCAGACTGGAACCTGGGCAGTTGCTGTTCAATATTTGAAGGTTGGAACAACCATTTCAGTATCTAAACCAAAACCAAATCCTCAAAAGACAAGGAATTATCATAGTGGCTTCAAGTACTTGAATCTTGACCTTTTTGTTATTTAATTCTTTCTAGGTTGCTACTTCATAACTTAAAAAGAACTTTTAAAAAACCATGAGGAAACCTGGGAAAGAATATCTAGGACAGCTAAATGATCCAAAAGAACTTGCAAATAGGAAATTCTATATCTGCTTCTTTCATCAACACTCATCAGTTCCAAGAGTTTATATTTCAGTCTGGCCAACAGCAACCATGGTGCAAGGCAAATGCAAATATGGAAGAACTACCTACTACAAATGAAAGATTCCTGTGCTAGTCGAGTCTTTGAGGTAAAAAAAGACAATTCATGTTTGGAAGTATAGTCACCAACCTTTCTGAAGTCTCCTTCCGACAAGTTCTCAACCAGCTTAGGCCCTGAAGAAAAGAATCCTCGCCCCAAAGGACTGTATGCAACAATTCCAATGCCAAGTTCTCTGAGAAAATAGCAGAAGAGTAAATATCAGAATTTGGACTTTTCAGTCCTCTTTGCGCATTTCAACCAAACAAGTCTGTTACCAATTGATGACTGACCTGCAAGTAGGAACAATTTCTTCCTCCACATCTCTTGACCATAAGGACCATTCCAACTGCACAGCTGTTACAGGGTGAACAGCATGAGCTCGCCTGATTGTCGAAGCAGAAGCCTCCGACAGACCTATATACTTGATTTTACCCTCTGCAACCAATTTCTTGAGTTCCCCCATCTTTCAAGGACATGAAGAAAATAGTAATAATAATCAGAGCTTTTCAGAGATGCTGTTCTGAAGCTGCAATGCTTGTGAGTAAAAAGAGTACTTTTGGCTTCTAACTAGGAACGAGACACTAAGATTGTACTGCAGCTGAGCTATGGCCTCTAACATATAGTTATACCACAGGAAAAGGTTACGCAATAACACAGATCGAGTTTGATCCCCAAGAGTGGACAAGTTTATCCTGCAAAATTTCCTCTAACCAGTGTTTCCATTTCCCATATCAAAAACTCGATCGCTTATCCTAATTCCTACAATACAAAAAGCGCTCATCCTATCTCTCAATCTGATCTAGACATTACTTTCCCGACCTTTACTTTTCAATACCATCCAGTAATGTATACAGATCAACTGTAAAACAAAATTCAAACTCAAATGAGAGATCAGGCATAAGAGACAAACCGTGACTTCAATTGGAAGGCTCGTATCGATGCGATGTTGGTAATAAAGATCTATGCAATCAACTTGAAGCCTCTTCAAACTCCCTTCACAAGCAATTCTCACATATGCTGGATCACCGCGAATTTCCCATTTCCCATCCTTGGTGCTCACACCAAATTTGGTAGCTAATTCCACTTTCTTTCTCATCTCTCCCTTCAAAGCCTGCAGTTACCCAAGTCCGAAGAATAAAAACAAATTGATAGGGTAGCATAAATTGAAACAGAGATTGACCGGTGATCCATCCACCGATAATTAATGGATAGAGACCTAACCTTGCCGAGAAGTATTTCGTTGGTGTGCGGTCCATAGATATCGGAGGTGTCGAGGAAGGTGACCCCATTGTTGATTGCATGGTGGATGAGGGGGATCATGTCAGCTTCAGGCTTTGGAGGGCCGTAGCCTGAAGACATGCCCATGCACCCAAGTCCTTGTGCCGATACTTCAAGTCCCTGCGACCCCAGCTTGATCCTCTTCACCACAGACGATGATGCCATTTCTTTGCTTAATTTTTTCCTGCTTTATTCGATAATATATATCCGGAACAAACTTGATTCTTCTCGGCCTGCACCTGATCTTGATCTTATTTGCAGTCTTGTATATTTACGAAAACGTTAACTTATTGCTATTGCTGACTGCTTTGTTTGGCCGGCGCACAAAATGAAAGAAAACTGAGCAGATCGATCGTCAGCAATACTATTATTGCATGTCCTCCTCCTATGAGCTTACGCAATCAAGCTTTGACTGAATTCAACCTTTATTTGAATTTATAATTAAACAGAAAATAATAATAAATAAATAAAAACTCTTTGAAATTCAAGAAACTGGCAGAATCAGAGGTGTCTGGTGTGAGTAATTATGGTTTTTTTCTTTTTTTTACTTAATAAAAATAAATCAAGGGTTGAAAATATATGTAGAATTGAAACTTTGATACATAAGCAAATGTATAATTTTCCAATGCATTAAATATTAGAAAGTTCCTCCATTCATTTCTATTTTTGACTTTTCATGTTCGATGAGGTAAGATAGGCAAATAAAAATTATGAAAAATAGAATAAAAATACTGTTTATTACAACTGAATTTTTAAGTGATTAATTAAATTATTAAATAATAAATAAATATGAAGACCTACTTATTTTCCGTATCTGTTATATTTTAGATTATAAAAAAGGATCACATTAAAATAAACTTGAAGAAAAATAAAGGCAACATTTATTATATAAATTTAATAATGAAATATCATCACAGAAGCAGTCAAAAAGTGCAGATTGGAATTTATCCTAGTGAACTTCTCCTCTCTCTCTCTCTCTCTGTTTTTTTTTTTCCTCCTTCAGTCAATCCAATATGTGAAATTGCAATACGGATTAGCTTTCATTTCTCTATAAATCAATGAAACGATCCCACTCTTTTTCCACTCCAATCCCAGATAATTTCATCTTCCAACTATTCTCTTCTGCAAAACCGTGACTAGGATCCCTCCCCTTCAAGATATTCTTTCTCAGTTTTCCTATTCTATTCAGGACACCCTTCAATGCTATGTCAAATGCATCTTCCAGTGTCTCTAATTTAGACCTGGGATCTGCATATATTACTTTTGGGATCAGCTTTATTACCTCCTCTCTCATTGCCAATATTTCATCTTCTGAAACTTGAAGTAGTACCTGCTTGATGTTGACAAACCCCTCTTTCATTAAGTCCATTGGTATGAACACAGAATATTTCCAGTAACTCCTCCGAAAATGCCATGTATATTGCCCGTAAGCAGAGAATGGATGGAAGAAAACTGGAATGCAACCGGCCAAAATCGAATCGAAAGTCGATCTCCTAGTGAGTGAATCCCCGGGAGGTTGTAAGCAGAAAACTGAGTCTTGAAACACTTTCATCACTTCAACCGGATCATCACATCTGCTTTTGCCAGAAGAACAACCAAGAAAATTGCATGTCCTCCTTGAAGCTAAGCATTGGTTGATAATCTCGCCTCGTATAGAATCATTCACACCAGGTCGCGGGGCGCCGGCAAAGGCAAACAAGTAGCGTCTGTTACGATCCAGCATTCTGTTTTGCCACTGGAGTACCTCATTGTCACTTGAAGGATGGAAATATGTGGGATATGGTATTGCAAACTCATTGCTCCATGAGGTTGTTTCAATTGTCAACATTGTCAGGTTCATAGATTCAGGACAGGACATAAGCTTGCTACCCCAATCATCGTCAGATTGTCTTCGAAAATCCCAACCAACCCTACTCGAAACAAAGAAATGGTCTCTACCCCACATCCTTTTCCATTCGTGCTGCTGCGCAAGCCACTTGACAAGATCAGAACCTAAAGAGTCTCTCTTTGATATGGTGTCCCAAAGGTAGCGACCGACATCGGAGCCAGCATAGAACGGCACATAAATGGCATCGGCGAACGAGGAGTTATTAGTCAAACACTTGTATCTCTTCATCCTCTCGTGAAATATGACTTCTAAAAGAAATTGGTTGGTTGCAAACCAACCCTTTTCGGACAGAACCCCATTAGAATTCTCAACCTGAGGACCAAGCCCCAAGTTCTTCAAGTACGGACACATGTCGAACCATTTCACAAGTGATGAGCAATTTTTTAGTACATCATCATTGAATCGGCTAGGAAGATGATGAGCATATATGTAACGACCCTTGCAAGAATCTTCTATCTTGGTTCTTGCAGCCAATGTAGTCTTCTTGTTCCGAGTAAGATTATTTACTTGATCAAGAGACTGAAATACTTCACTAAAAGGATTGTCAGTATCAACTGATGGATCAGGAGAAGTGCTTTGATTGAATATTTGAGGGACATCAAGAGAGCAATTTGATTTTTGGATATGCGAGCAGTTATTGGAATCGACAAAGTTGCTGATTAAATAGGTGGCCCTGTTTCCTCCAAGGGCACTTAAAACAGCATAATCAAAAGCGTAAAAGAACACAATGAACGTAGACAAGGCAACGAGGAAGACAAACCAATTTCGGGCACTGACTGGTTTATCCATTCTCTCAAATCTCAACAGCGCAGCATCTTCCAATCAGCGAAAAAAAAATCCCAATAAACCAAAGAAAGAACTAAAACACAAAAAACCTTACGTCTTGAATAACTGAATATGCAGCAAGAGTACAATATAGTATTTACAGAGTGAGCAAGAGAATTTTATGAGAAAAACGATAAAAAGAGGTACTAGATGCTGGATTTGCCTCTCTCTTTTTGCAGTGATGACTAAGGTACCTTTTCCGATGCCAGTTCTGCTGCGGAACTGCTTAATTGATAGAGCTTTTATATATATTTCTGAGCCTTATAATTTTATTTTATTTATAGAAAATAGATAATTGATCTGATGCCAGATGCAAAGGGTTCGTAACGCATTAAAAGCATGGAACTAGTTAAGGAAACCTTGTGACCCCTCATGGAAACCTGAGAGGGTGCAGTATCTTTATCATTAAAAGCAATCATAAATTTCCTTTTCTGTCTTCGTATAGGTTTTCCTTGTTTAATGCGAGTGCAAGATCACCCTACTGTAAATGTGTGGTTGCGTTTACGACCAACAGATTATGATTCATTTTAGAGATTTTTAGTGAATGATTCTGGTTCATATGGAGAATAGAATTTGATAAGAAAAGAAAGTAGATAGTATAAAATCTCTATTTTTTTAGGCAAGTAGTTACTCTATATACATACACCAAACTTCATGTCAATTGCTTTCCCCAAAAAAAGGATTTTTTTTTTGTTTTGTGTTAACCTCGTTCCTTTGTTAACTTTTGATCTAACGATCTTAATTATTTTTTTCTATCTTAATCTCATTCTACTACCTTGTTTTTCTGTCTTAATTTTTTTTATTGAATTTAAATAAATTAATTAATTAAAAAATAGAAAAAAATAAAGATAAAATATTTTTTTAATCCAAAGCATCGTTTATAGGCTAAAATTTATCTCTAGTAAACAAATTTTGAGTATAAAATAAAATGTTTATACTAGTATTTTTTTATAAAAAAATGTTTCTATTATAGTAAGCAAATATTGAGTATAAAATAAAATATTTGAAGTATTTTCTAAATAAAAAAGAGATTTTTTGTTAAATTTTTAAACTTTTGAATGATATTTATAATTTTATAATATTTCAAACAAATCTATTATAATTTACTTATTTTAATTTTAAAAACTTCTTAATTTGACTAAAAAATGGGAATATAATTTTATTTTATTTTTTTAGTATTGGACCCAAAGACTAACGAATTTCTTAATTTGACTAAAATTTGCAAGAAAATTTATATTCTCACTTTTGAAGCAATATAAAATTATAATAAACTCTTTTGAGGTAATATAAAATTATAAATATCATTAAAAAATTTAACTAGAAATATATTCATATTTAAAAAAATACTATAAATATTTTATTTTATACTCAAAATTTACTTTCAATCATAAAGATAAATTTAAACCAATGAAAGATATTTTAGATAAAAAAATATTTTTTTATTTTTTTACTTTCAAATTTTAAAAAGAATGACAGGATATATCTAAACCTTTTTTTTTAATTGATTTATTTAAATTCTGTAAGAAAAAAAAGATTAAGATGAAAAAATAAAGTAGAAATATGAGACTAAGACAAGAAAGCAAAAAATAAGTTAACACTGTTAGTTCAAAATGTAACTCAAAACGAGATTAAAATAAAAATTAAAGGTAAAGAGATGAACTTAAGAAAAATAAAATAAAATAAAACACAATAAAAATAACAGAAAAGAAAGAGTAGAAGGACCCCAATAACTATAATTAAAAGAAAAAACCATATAGTTCAATTATAACATCCAAACGCACTTACTTGTTTTGATGTGGGGTAAATGCAATGCTTGGTAGGGTTTTTATTTTATTATTATTATTTTATTTAACAGCAAACATACCCATATACATATGTGGGTCACAAACGATTTATCATACATACACAACCTCCATTAATTGATGACTAGAGGAGGTACCTGCTTGGTACTCGTTTATAGAATAATTCAGATTGAAATTGATTTCCTGGAGGCTATTCGGGTTATTTAGGAGCCAAATCCCGTTTCTCATCCTTGCTATTCTCTTGTCCTTCACATACAGTCGTCATGCAACCTGAGAAAGTTCCATACAACACACTTTACGTGAAAGGAATAATTATGCTGGTTTTATGGCAATATGGGGTTTTAATGGAGTCTTGTTTTATCCATTTTCCAAAAAAAAAACTTTCAATATGAAACACATTTGTATTTTTGAAAAACTATTAAGTACATCAAGAGTTGTATTGAAGCATAGCGGCAGTGGAGCAAAGGGCCAAGCAGAAGGCCTGACCAGTGAATAAATTTGCTACTAATAGATCTTGCCAGAGGCAGGAAGTTTGCATATTGCAAAGAACCCAATCACAAATAGAAACTCTTACTTCAACATAAGCCTCAACTCTTACTGCCTAATCAGACTTAATGACAATGAAATTTCCCCCCAACGACAAAACCCCAACAAGACCTTTCTATTGAAGCATAATGAGCAGAAGCAACCAGCAGAAACTACTTCCTTTTTTTTCAGTACACTTGAAAATTGAAAGCCAGCAAATAAAAAGGCTAGAAAAAAGTGAAAAATTGAAAAGAGAAAGATAAGAATGATATTCTAGAAAGGATGGCTTTTTGCGATAAACATACAAACATTTAACATGACATAAAATCTGAACCCTTTTCCTTTTTCCAACATAATTGAAAGGCTGACCATGAATTCTGATCCGATTCCAAGTTATATATGTAAGCATTATCCATCAAAACTGGCAACCATGAGGAAAAGACTAGTTAAATATCATAAATCACTTACAAATAATTTGACAGATTATACGCAGTTCTTCAGAGAATCTCCAGCTCCCTGGAAGAAGCAATATGAGAGTGCAAAATCAGCGACAAATATACCAACCAGCGAGATAACCACAGCTGAAGTTGTTGACTCCCCAACACCTTTAGCACCTCCCAATGTTGTAACTCCCCATGCACAGCTCACTATAGATATGATGGCGCCAAAAACCCCTGACTTGATCATTGCACTAATTAAATCCCATGAATTTAGAGCTCTCTGAGCTGAATCCAATATAATGTTGAGGTTAATCCCATAGACACTGTCAGCCAGCAAGCCACTGGATGCCAACCCCACTGTGAAACACATCAAAGTCAAGAAAGGGAGAGCAAGACAGGAAGCAATAACTCTTGGAGTTACCAAGTAATCAACCGGGTCTGCTCCAAGAACCCTTAATGTGTCAGTTTGCTCAGAAACCTGCATTGTTCCCAACTCCGCAGCAAACGCACTGCCGATACGCCCAGCAACCACAATTGATGTGACCACAGGACTCAGCTCCCTTGAAAAGGCTAGAGCTAATACCCCACCAATAGATCTGTTTAATCCTAATCTAGTAAACTCTCTAACAAATTGGATGGTAAAAGCCATGCCAACAAATGCAGAGGTCAAGAGACAGACCCCAACTGATCTAGGCCCAACCCTCTCCAGCTGTTGCAGAGTATTCTTCCAGTGAATTTTTCCCCTTAAACTCCTGATAATTACCTGACCTGCCAAGACAAGAACAGATAATCCCCTCCAAAGGTAATTCGGGGGTGACCATTTACTCAAGAATTTCTCTCCTTCGGAACTGGGTGCATGGTTGGTATTTGTGTCCTCTTCCGACATTGACACAGATAGATGGCCATCATCCATGTTCGGCATCACAAAAGGTTTGTTTTGCCGAACAGTTGATATAAATTTATATATGTGACATTGCCCACTGAAACCAAGTTGACTGAATTTCATTGATTTCATCTTTATGCACCCATTGGGTTTTACATAGCTTCTTCTGCAATATGTTAAAGCTTCAATTGAAATAAAAAGAAAGTGATAGAATCCATTATTCGTTCAAAACGCAAAAGAGAAACTTGGGGATATACCTGTTTGAGGAGTAACAAATTGAGTGAAAATGAGAAGCTGTTTGCATTTTTTTCTTTCCTCTGGCTTTCTTGCAAATAATGTAATTTCAGATCACTGCAGAGACCAGGGGTGCCGCAGCAAACCAGGAGGAAATTTGGCTAACGTCAGACACACAACTTTTTCCACAACTAAATACAATCACATTCAAGTGAAGCAGGTTGTCCTTGAAAATCTGACATTACACATCACAGACGCATAATAAATATATAACACATTAAGAATCTTAAACCAGGAGAAGATTCCCATTTTCCGACTGTCAAAAACGTAAAAACTTTTAACTCTGGGAATTAAACATACAGTCCAAAAATCAAGAAGGAAACAGCTAGAATTTTCAAAAATTAACACTCCTTGAGAATCATTACCTTTTTTTGGCTTTCCTACAACTATTCAGCTTTTCTCCAGAAGAAATCTTTTTAACCAATGTTATATGTTAAAATGCTAAAATGCTACTGCAATGTTGAAAGCTTTAGAGAACAAGCCTGCTAAAAACAAAATATTAATGATAATAATAATTCATCTAGCTCTAAAGTCAGAAGGCAGAAAATCAACGAACAAAAATGGTATTGAGATGAAAGGATGCCTTATCCTCCTCTTATCATTTAATTTTCTCCTCCTTGATCACAAATTTATTATCATTTGTTAATTAAGCCTCTATTTCTGCTCAATTAGTTTAATTGATAAAAATTTATGCTAAATTAGTAAAACCATAAAATTAATCATTGATGTCATTATTCTATACACAGAGAAAGAGTATCTTGGATAATATTCTATGACAAAAATATCCATTCAGAGAATATCTTATAGCGATATTACATACCTAGAAGTAATTGTAGATGGTGATTTTGGCAGACCCTCCACCTCCTCCTCCTAGGAAGCAAGAGAGTTCCGCGGCAACTTTCCCTCACTGTGTCTCTTTAGTTGGTATGAGAAGACGGGTGAGGATTTAGGATCCATTTGGCTTCGCGGTCAAGTACGGCTGGAAACGCAAAGAGTTAATGATAACTTAGTACATGTAGTTTAACAAAACTAAATAATTAATCCTTATGATTTCCAAAACTATATACTTAATCTTTATGTCTTAAAATTCACTTATAATTTAATCTTTTTATCTATTTCATGACATTTTCTAATTATTTTGATTTTTTATTTTAAAAAAATAGAAAAGGTGAAAAAAGAAGTAGATGCGATGGAGAGACTGATGAATAAATAATATTTTTTTGGAACAAAATAATACTAAATTATGTTTAGTCTACATTGGTAAAAAGTAATTTAATTATTTTTTATACTATAAAAATTAATTAATTTGCGTTGATTTTTTTTTATATAAACTACAAGGATTAAATTATAATTAACTCAAAAGAAAAATATATTGTTGATTGTTTATATATATACTAGTTCGATATTCATGTTATGCTACGATCGGACAATCATTATATATTTAAGATCAATAATTCATATAGTATGATGCGAATAGAAATCTTGTTTCGATAATTAATGTAAATCAAATTTATTTATTATGCAAATTATTTGATTTATATCTATTTATTAACAAAATAATCAATAATATTAACATAAAAAAATTTATTTGAATAATTAAGAGGTTTTAAAAATATATATATTATTTCAATTATTTTATTTAAAAAATACTGATTTTATTACATAAAAAAGAATAAATAATTAATATTAAGTGTACATATACATAGTTAATTTTTAACAAAACTAATTATTCAAAACATATATACATACATACATTATGATCATACTTAGCAGATTTAAAATATATAATATAAAAAAAAAAAAAAAAACTCATCCAAGTTGTATAAGATGTATTAAAGTCAATATATTGAAATAAAAACTACTACAAAATTAGTTTTGATAAGTTTTAATTATATATTAAAAAAAGTAAATAAAACCTATGAATTCTACTTTTTAATTGATTATTAAAATATTTTTTTAAATAAAGAAGTTGAGCTAAATTATCCAAGGCACACTTATATATATATATATATATATATATAATTTTAAAACATATCATATATTTTTTATTACCGTCAAACTTTACGAAAAATTAAAAAAAAATAAGAACATATTTTTTATAATTTTTACACATAATTTAATAGCTCATGATGTGCTACGTACATACCACAAAAAAAAAAAAAAAAAAAAAAAAAAAAAAGCGAAAAAGGCTCCATGCATTGTCCAGAAAAGTGAAGAAGTGAAAGGCCATTGATGTAGAGCATTGAATGCTCTAGCAAACAAAAAAAGAAAATGACAAAAAAGGCATAAAGGCAGGAAAAGATGAAAAGTAAAAGGCCAAGAAGTAATATAACATAATTTGTTAATGACATAAAAACAATTAAATGAAAAATAAATGGCATGAAAGCAATTGAATGAAAAATAAAAGAGCCAAAAACCAACAATTTTGCATAACAATAAAAACCACTCAGTCGATTACTTAATTCTGAATAAATAAATAAAATCTTGTAATAATTAGCTTATCCAATGTCTAAGGACAAAATGCATCGCATGCAAAAAAGAACCAACGGCTGAGATGCAATAAAATAAACAATATAGTTGAAATAAGTCTTGCTCCAAAGTCTACGTAAGTCACAATGTACAGTAAATGAATAATAAATGACCTGGTTCTTTTAGTTTTTTTGTAATATCTGAAATTTTTAATCAATGAATAATAAATAAAATAGGATATAAATATTGTCAAATCTGATATAAAATATAAATATTATATACCCACATATTTATATAAAATATTTGTAGTTTTGTCATTCAATATATATATATATATATTGAATAATAAATATCTGAAATCCAGAATGAATATAAATATCTAAATTTTTTAGATGAAAAGTTAGGGATAGTATATATTAGTTTGATTTTTTGAATATTAGAATGCATACACTAAAAAAGGAATCCATGAGTATTTATTGCCATTCCTGGTTAAAGGTTATGGTCAGTTTATGACTTATGAACACTCAATTCTTTTTGAGGAACGAATTCTGAAAAAAAAATGTATTTTAGGAAAATTTCATTCAAAGGGAGGAAAAAAAAATAAAAATAAAATCAATTCTGGTGTGGGAAGGGGATCTCGTTCTCCTTTTGTTGCATCCCGTCACGTGAGATATTGTACGAATGTTGGAATCATTTTCGTAAAAAAATGAGCGGACCTTACGTCTCTTAACAAATGAAATTATACAAATAACCCAACCCATCAAATATATATCCCATGCTTTGATCGAGTTCTTAAGAAGAAGATTCATCATTGAATCTTAAGTTTTCTATTAGTTTCTTACAAAAATAGTAATTATATATTTTTTTAATCCTATCTTTAATAATGTGTTTGAAAATATTTTTCAAATACATTTGAAATGAAAAATATAAAATATTAATTTAAGGAAAAAACTACATAATAAATACATCAACTTTGAATGTTTTCTTAATTGAACACATCTATTTTTATTTTTTTCGTTTTAATATATTAATAATGTCATTCAAGTATAAAATCGATGACATTTTCAAAAAAAAAATTGATATACGAAAATTTAAAAAAAAAATAAAAATTGATGTACTCAATGGAGAAAAAAAAAGTTCAAAATTGATGTACATATGTATTTTTCCATTAATTTAATGGTTTTATATGTTATGTCAAAATTCTTTTAAAAAAATATTTGAAAAAGTATAAAATTTGATGTTAGTTTAGCAAAATTACTTGATAGTATTTCAATGTCGTTTGGTTATCGAAAATGAAATGTTTAAATTGAAAATTTAAGAATCAAAATGATATTTATATTCTCAAACCGTATTTAGAATAGTCATAAAAATTCAAAATGAAATTTAAAATTTTTAATATCTAATTTTTAAAATAAATAAGAATAATGATTACAATTAGCAATAATAATTTTATCAATTATGATGATAGTAAAATTGTAACACCTCCGACTTAAGACCTATATAGGCCGAGAGTATTATCCGGCGTTAAGTACATTTTAAGTACAATAAATACAAGCCAATAAGCCTTCTCTCCTTATCTTACGAATTATCGGTGAAAGTGGTGGTTTTCGTTTGACGTCCCTAATAAATGAGAAATAATAGGTCCAAATTAATTAAAACTCGGGGATAATTTTTTTTGAAAATTCCTCAAACACCAATTAATACTCCTACTATATGTGTAGAAATATTAAATATCAAGATTGGGTCAAAAACTCATATTCTTGGAATCTAATTAAATAAAATACCTTATATCAAAGTGAATAGTTCCATGTCTTTTATTTTTCTTAAATTCCTTTAAAAATTCACATTTAATTTAAAATATAAATATTCAATGTAAAAATAATCAATAAAAATTAGTAGAATAAATTATCAATATTTTCATCTCAGAACTAATTTAATTAGAATTTAAATAATTTTATTAGAAAATATTGATAATACTTTAAACCATCGAATCTTGATTTAATACTATTACTTAAATAAAATTCATTAGGATAGAATTTCAATTAATTAATTCAACTGAAAACTTAATAAATGCAATTAGACCTTTAATTAGATATTTGACCATTCAAAATAATTTTTGGAATTATGGAACTTTGGTTCCAATTAATTTAAACGTACTAATTAATCTATCCCATCAAATTCATTTCTTCTTTGTCTATTACATTATATTTAATCATTTAACCATTATAACTCTTTTTACCTTACTATTTTCATTCCATACCTTTTACCATTAAATATTTAGTTACTAAATCCATTAACCATTTAACCTCAAATTAATTTCATTACTTACTATATTAATTTCTTAAGTCCAATTCAATAAATTTAGTAGACAATTAATTTCTTAAACTACTAAACTAAACAATTAAGGTATTATTTGGTAATCGAAATGAAACACCTATAATGGAAATGAAGGAATTGGAATGAGAATCAAGGAATCGAATGATAATCTAAATCCAATTACTGCGTTTGTTATCTTACTATTGAAAATTGAAATGAAATACTTGGAATAACAATTATTATGTTTGGTATAGACAAATAAGAATTGAAATGATATCATATATTTACCGTTGTATCCTTCAATATCCACAATAAATTTTATCACAAAAGCAATTAAAATTCAAAAAAAAAATTATAGGAAGATTTTTTTATTTTTCTTTAAAAAATAAGCTAATTGTTTTATCCATAATTTTTTTGATACATTATATATATTGTTTTCCACTAAGATTGAATTTTTAACAATAAACATTTAGGCTACGTTGTTATATTTTTCTACTTGATCTACTTTAGATAGTATATTCTGTGAATGCATTATATATATGATTTTCCTACAAATTATTAGTAATTTTTTTTCTTAAAAATTATAATTTTCCTACTTTATGGAGATGCTATTTAATTCTCTCTTATAGAACATTCAACTTTCCTTTAGGCTACATTATTATATTTCCTACTCGGTCTACTTTAGATTGTATATTTTGCGAATGCATTATATATGTGATTTTTCTAAAAACTTAGTAATTTTTTTCTTAAAAATTATAATTTTCCTACTTAATGGAGATGCGGTTTAGTTTTTTCTTATAAAATATTCAACTTTCCTAGCACAACCCCACTTTCCTTGTTGTACTTCACGTAACCATCATTATTTTTTAAGTTAGATGCTGATGAATATGGCAGGTGGGAGTAAGTAAAATTAATATATAGTATTGAAGAATTATTGTTATTGTTTTTAGTATATAGCTATCCTTAGATTATAGTAATAAATTCAAGTAGACTATGGTTCCAATTACATGTTGTCATCAGAAAATTATGGTTTAAAAAGAGATGGAATTGTGTAATTTAATATTTCCATTTGGAAGAAAGCTACAGTAGATAAAATATTGACTAGTTTTGTTTTTTGTACAATTCATAGTTTTAATGTCTTTATTCGGATAATACTAGCAATCCCAGCGTCT